ATAAAAACTAACGCTGTAGTCTTTTTAAATAACTTGGCAGAGGATCAAGGATTCGAACCTTGACGAACGGTTTTGGAGACCGTCATGCTACCATTACACCAATCCTCTATAACCCTTCATTTTGTTTTAGTACCACAAAATGAATTGCTTGGTGGGGACGGAGAGACTCGAACTCTCACACCTTGCGGCGCTGGAACCTAAATCCAGTGCGTCTACCAATTTCGCCACGTCCCCAATGGCTGTGTATATTATAGAGATCGTTTTATTATGACAAGCCCTTTTTTCGAAAAAGACACTCGTTTGTTTAAATAAAAAACAAATGTTGCAAATACTGCTTTTTGTTTAAACAATTTGGCTTAATACTTGTTTTATTTGATAAATATTTGAGCAACGTTGCCCTATTTTTTTCATTAACATCTCTGTTAAAACCATTTCAAAAATTTTAAATTGCTGTGGTAACACCACATTTAACTGCTGACAATGCAAAAATGCCCAATCTTGATAGCTTTTCGCCGATAAGCGCTGTTGTGTCAACCACTCCAACCAAACGATTCCCAACGCATAAATATCGGATTGAAATGATTTTGGTTGACCATGAAACAATTCTGGTGCCATATACCGAGGTGTTGCGGTATGTGTTGCGATATTTGTTAAATTTGCCTCTTGAGCGATGTTTACAGCCTGTTCAAAGTCAATCAAATAACTTTTCTCATCCTTAACTCGAAAGTGCTCAACTTTGATATCGCCATGCAGATAACCATAGTCATGCAAATGTTCAAGCACATCTAAGCTGAGTACTAATCGCTTACCAATTTCAGCCAAGCTAAGTCGATCAGGCAGATCCTGAAAAAGCTTTGGGGCATCTTCCACCCATAAAGTCTGATCAATGACCTCTTCTTCAATTTTAAATTGCTGAAATGGATCAAATATTGAAAAATTTAACAATACAGGTTGAGCTTCAGTCTCCAATGCATTCAACTCGCTATAACAGTTCAGTTCATTGAAAAAGTGCTGTTGATAACAGCGATTTGAATTTTTGAGCTGTAATTTCAACCAAAACCATTGCTGTCCCTGTTGAATTTGATAAACACGGCGACCAAATTTTTGACTTTGGATTGAATTATATGCAACTGGAAGAATTCTGCTTTGGCTCATACTTCGGTCAATTGTTCTGCGGGTATATCTTTCGTCATTGGATGATTCAAAACTTCTAGACAATGTTGGATTGTTTTACCAATACGCGCATGTGTTTCTATGCTTGAAATTTTTGGCCAAGTTGCACGCTCACCTTCTCGTTGCAACAGCTTGAATAGATATGGGCGTGGGTTCTGTAACATATAGCTATAATGGCGCAGACTATACTCCCCAATAATATTGACATCACCATAGTAGCGCTGGTCAATAATACCGTAACCGTGATCGAGTAAACGACGCATAGAAGGAACTCGTCCCATACGACCTCTGGCAAAATCCATGATCCCCATTGCAGCCATGCGTCCTTGACTACGCACAATACGTTCAGGCCAACTCAGTAAATCTCTACGATAACGTTCTTCATCATTCTGCATAAACGGTACAATATGTGGATTAACCTGACTGGCAATGGTGTAATTCAAATTATAAAGACGTGACATGCGCTCTTGGGGGAAATCATTGCGGACACTGCCATCCACCCAACGCGTATTTGCCAAATAAGGGGTATGTACACCATCGTAACGTTTACTGATCAAACGCACAGGTGGAAATAAAACCGGTACAGCACATGATGCCAATACTGCACTCCAGACCAATAAATCTGGTGAGGTATATTTATTCATGATTCGTACATCTTCTTGGGAAACATCATAAGGCGCGACGGTGACATTGATATCCAAGCCTGATTTTTCAAACGCCTCCTGAAACGTTACATCACCTAAATTTTCGACCAAAAACTTTTTAAGATATCGGACATCTGCAAAACCACCATTGCCTTTGATTAATTCTTTTAAGCTACGAAAGTGAAAGGCTTCACTATAAAATTGGTCACCACTCAGCAAGTTTGGAATCTCACCTGGTTCATTTACCCCCAGCATCGCCGTCATGATTGCCCCAGCACTTGAACCAGAAAGTACTTTTGGCATTAAGTCTTGTTCCATTAATGCCTTACAAACACCGCTATGGAATAAACCTAAGGTTGCCCCACCTGAAAACATCAGTGCGGGCTGACCATAGGCCTTTTCACAGTTTTCGAAAAACTTCCTTTTGCTTTCATGACACAAGGCTTGGCAACTTTCTGAAGCGATGAATGCCAAACTATTACTGACTTCATCGATATAATCTTCAATTATTTTTTTAGTTCCAACATAGGTATGTGCAAATAGCATCGGATGCCCGATGTTGGCAACATCGTGACTAAATCCTTCTCTTAGGATATACATCAAATCTTGGGTGCGATTTTGCAGACGATAACGACGCAATAAATTTAACCGATGGGAAATAATTTCAGCATCAAAATATGGAGAGGTATTATCCAGCTTCCACTCCTGTGCCCCCGTTTCTTCATCCAGTTTTAACGCTATAGATTTCCACTCTTCATAGTTTTCCGCATGTTTCAGTTTTCTTTTTAGTTTTTTAATACGATAAGCCTGATGCGGATTTAAATCTTGAGTAAGTTCTAATAACATTTCTAATATTCCTTTGATTTTTAATCCGACACTTTTAGATACCTGTCGATAAACTATGCTGAAAAATAACCAGATAATCAATTACCATAAGTCATTTAATTCTTGCTTTAGATTCCAATTATCGCCTATTGAGATTAGCTCAATAAAATTACTGTGCTAATATCAACCACACATTGTAATTTCTGAAAATAGCGAACGGATATGGCAACTTTCGACTTACCTGACAATATCATCCAAAAATTATCCACTGTTCTTGATCAGTTACATCAATTCCTTCCTGAAACAAAAAAGGATACCGACTTTGCAGCAGTGGCTTTTAGGTGGCACGATAAACAACTCAAAGCGATTTATAACCCGAAAGCAATGCATTTGGATGATCTTAAAGGGATTGAACGTCAGAAAGCTAAAATTTTACAAAATACTGAACAATTTCTACACGGCTTACCTGCCAACGATATTTTACTGACTGGCTCACGCGGTACAGGAAAATCATCCATTGTCCGTTCTTTACTTACCCAGTATGCAGAACAAGGCTTACGTTTAATTGAAATTGAACGAGATGATTTGTCAGACTTGCCAGAAATTCAAAAAATTATTAAAAATCGTCCAGAAAAGTTCATCGTTTATTGTGATGACTTGGCATTTAATGCTGAAGATGAAAATTATCGTAGTTTAAAAAGTGTCTTAGATGGCTCGCTACAATCTGGCTCAAGTAATTTTGTGATTTACGCGACCAGTAACCGTCGTCATTTATTACCTGAATTTATGCATGAAAACACGCCTGTAACCAAAGTCGATGTGCCGCAATATAAAGAGTTGCACCCACAAGAAGCCATCGAAGAAAAGATTTCTTTATCAGATCGTTTCGGTATGTGGTTGTCGTTTTATCCGATGGATCAAAATCTTTATTTAGAAATTGTGGAGCACTATTTAACAAAAGCAGACATGCCCTTTGCTGATGATGTACGTGCTGAAGCATTAAGATGGTGTCAAGCTCGTGGTCAACGCTCAGGGCGTGCAGCATATCAATTTTCTAAACATTGGATTGGTTCAGAACGTTTAAAGGCTTTATAATTCCGACTTTTTTTAGATATACAAAGCCCTAACTGAATAATAGTCAGGGCTTTTATTATTTATCAGTTAGATCATATGCGATAAGAATAAGTAAGCTAAGCAAATAGCGATATCAAAACGTCCAATAAGCTCATTCATGCTAAACCCATTTATCACCCGTTAAAATCTCACTGTATCTTTGTCTCATTTGATAACAATAGCTTGAATGGATTACCCTGTTTCTTTCAACCCATATCATTCAAATAAAGCTTAAATTATTCGTTTCTATGTAAAAAAGACCATCAACACACAACTCAAGCTGACTGCTGGTTAATCATGCAACTAAAAGCCAAAATTAAAAAAATCAGTATATTTAAATATATTTCAAATACTTAAACACAAAGCAATAATTCATCCAGAACATTTTATTTCAGCACATCACAGTTTAAGCGTGATAAAATAGCCGACAGTTTCATATAGGATAGGTCTATGCAGTTTGTTCATCTTGGTATTCATACCGAATTCTCGATTACAGAATCGATCGTACGTATACCTGATCTGATTAAAGCTGCCGCATCTGATGAAATGCCTGCTTTAGCCATTACAGACCTATCCAACCTGCATGCAGCTGTTAAGTTTTATAACAAATCGCTGGGGAAAGGGATTAAACCTATTTTCGGCAGTGTAATTCGATTAAACGATGCAAACCATAAAGCAACCTTACTGGCAATGACCAATAAAGGCTGGCGTGGTCTGACTGAAATTGTCTCTCGCGGCTTTATTGAAGGGCAACAACTGTCGATTCCATGTGTACAAAAAGAATGGGTGCTTGAACAGTCTCAAGACCTTATTGTACTTTTGGGTCTACATAGTGATGTCGGAGAAATGCTCTGTGCAGCTTATCCTGAAAAAGCCGAACCACTGTTAGAACAATGGATCGAAAAATTTGGCAATCGTGTTTATTTAGCGCTGACGCGTACAGGTCGCCCATTAGAAGAAAGCTTCAATGAAGAAGCGGTTAAACTCGCTGCAAAATATAATATTGGTGTCGTTGCACATAATGATGTGCATTTTGTTAGACCAGAAGATTATGAAGCACATGAAGCACGTGTTTGTATCGCAGATGGTTATGTTCTAGGTGATAGTAAACGTCCTAAGCATTACAGCCCTGAGCAATATTTTAAAACCTCTGCTGAAATGATTCAGCTGTTTGCAGATATTCCAAGTGCGATTGAAAATACCTTACAAATTGCAAAGCGTTGTACTGTTTCACTCCGTTTAGGATTCCATGACCTACCAGACTATCCAATTCCGGAAGGTCATACTATCCATTCTTACTTTGAGCATCTTTCTGAAATTGGTTTAGAAGAACGCTTAGACTTCCTTTACCCTATTGAAACACGTGATGAAGATTGGGCTGAAATTCGTAAGCCTTATGATGAACGTCTGGCCTATGAGCTTGGCATTATCAATAAAATGGATTTCCCCGGTTACTTCCTCATCGTCATGGACTTTATTCAATGGTCTAAAAACAATGGGGTTCCTGTAGGTCCCGGTCGTGGTTCAGGTGCAGGCTCACTCGTCGCTTATAGTTTAAAAATTACTGACTTAGACCCGCTGCGTTATGACCTACTCTTCGAACGTTTCTTAAACCCAGAACGTGTATCCATGCCCGACTTTGATATCGATTTCTGTATCGCTGGGCGTGATAAGGTCATCGATTATGTGGCACGCCATTATGGTCGTGATGCGGTTTCTCAGATTGCAACCTTCGGTACCATGGCTGCTAAAGGTGCGATTCGAGATGTAGCACGGGTTTTAGGTAAATCTTATGGTTTAGCAGATCGTATTTCTAAAATGATTCCGACTAAACCTTTAGGTCTCACCTTAGAAGAATCTATTGAGGCTGAACCACAACTTAAAGATATTGTGACCAATCCATCCAACCCAGATTATGATGATGCTGCTGAAATCTGGGAAATGGCGCTCAAGCTTGAAGGCATTACCCGTAATACAGGTAAACACGCAGGTGGTGTGGTCATCGCACCAACCAAAATCACCGATTATTCGGCAATTTTGTGTGAAGCTGATGGCACAGGACGGGTTGCCCAATTCGATAAAGATGATGTAGAAGCTGCGGGCCTAGTAAAATTCGACTTCTTGGGCTTACGTAACCTTACTGTAATTGAAGATGCGATTCAAAATATTAATAAGCGTATTCAATCTGATAAGCCGTTAAATATTTCAAACATTCCTTTGGACGATCCTAAATCCTATGCAGTATTTGCTGACGCAAATACCACCGCGGTATTCCAGTTTGAATCCGTGGGCATGAAAAAAATGCTTAAAGAAGCACGCCCAAGTAAATTTGAAGAAATTATTGCCTTCGTATCCTTATATCGACCGGGTCCAATGGACCTTATCCCCGACTTTATCCATCGTATGCATGGTGGTGAGTTTGAATACTTACATCCGCTGTTAGAAAGTGTACTCGAACCCACTTATGGGATCATGGTATATCAGGAACAGGTGATGCAAGCCGCACAGTTCTGTGCAGGCTATACACTGGGTGGTGCAGATTTACTTCGTCGTGCGATGGGTAAAAAGAAAGTCGAGGAAATGGTCAAGCAACGTGCCACCTTTATTGAAGGTGCTGCGAAAAAAGATATTGATGAAGGTACAGCCAACCATATCTTTGACTATATGGAAAAATTCGCAGGCTATGGTTTTAACAAATCACATGCCGCTGCGTATGCTTTAGTTGCCTATCAAACGGCTTGGTTAAAAGCACATTACCCTTCTGAATTTATGGCTGCGGTCATGTCTTCGGAAATGCAAAATACAGATAACATTGTATTTTTAATTGATGACTGCCGAATCAACAACTTAGTGGTATTGCCGCCATCGGTAAATATGTCGTTCTACCAATTCTATGCCAGTGATGTAAACACCATTATTTATGGTTTAGGTGCAATTAAAGGTGTCGGCGAACAGGCCATGCAATCCGTGATTGATTCACGTGAGCAAGATGGTCCTTTTAAAGATTTATTTGATTTCTGCCACCGTGTAGATTTGAAAAAAATCAATAAAAGAACATTGGAAGCATTGATTCGCGCTGGCGCACTGGACTGTTTGGGAATTGAACGCTCAAGTTTAATGGCTCAACTTCCAGAAGCTGTCCAAGCCGCTGAACAGGCACGTTCTAATCGTGAAACGGGCATTATGGACTTATTTGGTGAAGTTGAAGAGGTTCAACGTAAGCCAGCTAAACCTGTAAAACCGTGGTCTGATGAAGTGCGTCTAAAAGGCGAAAAAGATACATTGGGTTTATATCTGACAGGTCATCCAATTGATGTCTATCGTGCAGAATTAAAATCCTTTATTCCAAATAAAATTAATGAATTAACCCCTACTCGTCGTGGTGTGACTACTGTTTTCGCAGGTTTAGTGGTCGATATTGCCAATTTCCCGAATCGGATGATGATTACCCTTGATGACGGTACAGCACGTATCGAAGTCTCTGCGAATCATGAACGCTTCCAACGCTTTAAAGACATCATTCAAAATGAAAAAGTGGTGGTGATTGAAGGTGAAATTTATGAACGTGAAGGTTTTGACCGTCCTATGGGGCGTTTGACCAAAGCATTCACCCTCAATGAAATTCGACAAAAGCGTGCTAATAGCATTGCCATAACACTGAATACAGAAGTGATGACGAAAACTTTAGCCTCGGATATTCAAAAGATCTTACTGCCTTTCTGTAATGTCGATATGTGTCAACACATTCCAATGCAGATTCAGTTAGATTATGACTATGCCACGGCTGAGTTACATTTAGGGCAACAATGGAAAGTTGCCCCATTGGATGAGTTACTTTCTAAATTACGTGATTACTTTGGTAAAGAATCTATTCATATTGAATACCAAGTCAAATCTAAAGCGGCAAAAGCCGTGGATCATCGTGGACTTGCCCAACCGACTCAAGTTGCACCACCGCCAGAAAATATGAGTATGGATGATGCAATGGATGACTATATGGCAGATGCAGGCCAATTCTCCTAACCTCCCTATTTGAATTTAAAGCTTAATATTTTGGAATATTCATGGATATTTTCGACAATGCTGTGATTTCACAGCATTTAAGTCATGTACGTATTGTCATGGTCAATACGACGCTTCCTGCCAATATCGGAAGTGCTCTACGTGCTATGAAAACAATGGGCTTAACCAAACTTGTGCTCGTTGCGCCTAAAACCTACCCTCACCCTGATATAGATGCGTTAGCGGCTGGCGCAGCAGATCTGATCGAGCAAATTGAAATTGTCGACAGCTTAGAAAATGCCATTAAAGATTGTCATATCGTATTTGGAACCAGTGCACGTAGTCGCACCATTCCGTGGCCTTTGCTTGATGCACGCCCTGCGGCGCAAAAATCAATGCAGGCTGTTATCCAACACCAACAAGAAATCGCTATTGTCTTCGGTCGTGAAGATCGTGGTTTAACCAATGAAGAACTTGCGCTGGCAAACTTTCATGTCACAGTCCCAGTAAATAGTGATTATGGTGTGTTAAATGTTGCTCAAGCAATTCAGGTACTGTGCTATGAAATGCGTATGGCAACATTGGAATTAGCTGACAAGAAACTGGATACTGAAGCGGTGATGCGGGTAACAGATTCAGAAGATATGCATTGGGATGAACCTTTGGTCACACATGAGCAAATGGAACAATTTTATCCGCATATTGAAAAAATGTTGGCTGATATCGAATTTTTAGACCCTAAAAACCCGCGTTTACTGCCTTTACGCTTGCGTCGATTATTTGGGCGTATACAATTAGATAAGATGGAATATCATTTATTAAGAGGCATTTTTAGCCGAGTTCAAGCCTTGAATAATGGTACATGGAAAAAGTCAAAAGATGAGGATCAAAACTAATGCTAAAACAGCTTAAAGAAGATATCCAAGCTGTATTTGCGCGAGATCCTGCTGCGCGTAATACATTTGAAGTTTTAACCACATATCCTGGGATACATGCATTAATGATGCATCGTGTTGCCCATGAATTATGGGAAAAAGATTGTAAAACTTCAGCGCGCATTTTGTCTTCTTTTAGTCGTTTTGCAACAGGTATTGAGATTCACCCTGGCGCTAAAATAGGTAAACGCTTTTTTATCGATCATGGCATGGGTGTGGTGATTGGTGAGACAGCAGAAATTGGTGATGATGTCACCTTGTATCATGGGGTGACTTTAGGCGGCACGACATGGAATAAAGGTAAACGTCATCCGACTTTAGCAGATGGTGTTGTAGTAGGTGCTGGTGCAAAAATCCTAGGTCCTTTTGTGGTCGGTAAAAATGCCAAAGTAGGCTCAAATGCTGTTGTAACTAAAGCTGTACCTGATGGCGTCACTGCGGTAGGCAACCCTGCTCGCTTTATTAGCAAAGATAAAGAAATCGTCACTACACCAGAACCAAGTTGTCCAGAAGAAATGAGCAGTGGCATTGAAAACACAGAATTTCAAGCCTATGCAGCCGTACCAGAACAATCCGACCCTATGCTGGACGGCATGCGTGTTCTGTTAGATCGTTTGGAACAAAATGAAAAACGCATCAATAGTTTGTGCCAGCGTTTATCACTTTTAGACCCAACGTTCAATTTACAGCACAATATTGAACAGCCTTTGAGTGATGATGAAATCAAAATTATAGAAGAAGTTAGACGTGAATGTGCAGCACAAAACCACTCATCGAAAGCATAAGGTTGCTTAATACTTCACAAAATGAAGTGTCAATAGACTGTAATGTATAATTTTTAATAATACGAACCAAATCAAGTTGCATGTTCAGACGTCTTTTCATAGACTGATGCGCATGCACGTTTTTTAATATAAATTAATGGAAGAAACACATGACGATTAAGCCTTTGGCATATGCATTGCTCGCAACATCATTACTTACTGCGTGTTCAACAACACCCACCAAGCAACAAAATAAAATAGATGCAAACGAGCCGTTTATTTACACTGAGCCTGAATTGTCTCCTCCGTTCTATGCATTAAACCCTTTCGATTACTCGCAACCGCCTGTTTTTGAATTAGAGTTAAAAAAAGCATCGGCTCAACCTGTAAACAAACTCGAAGTTACTGATCCTGCAAATTCAAGCCAAAAAATCATTTTAGATACCAATAAATTGATTGTACCTACAGTAAATAGCTCACAACGTGCTATGAAATATGCAGTACTTGCTGGAAACAATGAAATTGACATCACTGCAATTGATGATTTCTTACAAATGGTTGAAGGCAAAGCACGTCATTACCCACCACAATTTAGTGATCGTAAAGAACGTAAAGGCTTTGAAGCTAAGTTGAAAGAAGTCTCTACTCAGCTTGACCAATTAGCTGCAGCACCAAATGCTTCTTTTGATATTTTGATTCGTGCATTTAAAGCCAGTGTTTTGGGACGTAACCTTGACCTAGGTTCTTCTTATACCACCAAGTCATTAGAGTATGCTCAACGTATTCTCAAAATCAACAAAGATGATGCTGAAGCAAACTTGTGGTTTGGTTTCTCTTTATCTGAGGGTGGCGGTCAAAAAGAAGCGATTCCATATTTAGATAAAGCTATCAAACAAGGTGTTCAAGAAGCCTATTTATCTTCTGCAAACAACTTTATTGGTATGGAGCAAAAGAAAAATGCGATCCAAACCTTGAAAAACTATAAAGTGAAATACCCAGAAGAAGCTGAAGTTGCAGATCGCTTAATTCAAGAAATTGAAAAGCAAGGTCGTTACAACGTTTGGCAGGTTTTGAAAAACCCAGCTCTAGCAAAATAAATTTATAAATTTTTGAAAAAATAGGCTGAACATTCAGTCTATTTTTTTGTTTATAAATTGAATAAAACTAACGTATGATTCAAACAAAGATTGATCTAGTTAATGATTATGCAATACTCAAAAAACAATATTTTGCTTTGTGCTTTAGCAATGAGCCCATTGATTTTATCTGGATGCCAAGTTGTCAGTGTAAAAAATCAAAAGGTGAATGTAACCATTACCAATGAACGTGACAGCATTTTGACCCGTTCAAAAATGAGTGAAGCCAGCTTAAATGTCTTGTCGATGACTGGACGAGAAGCCAAATCTTGTACAGATGAACCCGAAAAATGTGTGGCAGATTTAGCTGAAATCCCACAGATTCAAGATGAACAACTGCTTTCGACCGCAAGTGAAATTTACTTAACCAAAGCAATCAATCTTGGCGACTCATCAGATTGTAAAGTCAGTCTTTTTTCTAAACATCAATCCACTGACAAACAACAAGCCTCGCAGAAAAACTATGAGCAATGTTTAGATCAGCAAATGGTGATGTTAGATAACAGCATCCGCTATAGTTATGCCTATTTATTTAAAACTGAACGCCAACCTCAAGACCGTATTTTTAATAACCGACAAGTTCAGATACGTGACTTTTATAATCAAGCTTTAGCTAAACTGATTTCGACATATGCCGTAAGAAATAAAAACCAAAAAGTAGCAAAACAAATTAAAGTTGGCAAAAGCACTTATCGCATTAACTTTAATGGTTACCCTGCACTGGCTCAGATTGAACTTGAGGATCTTGTTTCAAGCTATAATTTAAACTTTTCAGGTTTACGTTCGATCAACCGTAGAGACGGTTTCGGTGCAGAATTTGTCGCAATTTTACCCAACACGACAGCACCTGAAGAAAACAAATATATTGTGAATCCATTTGATTATAAATACAAAAATGGCATGAATCCCAATATTCATCAACCACGTTATTTATCGGTTAGTATTGCAGCACAACCTGAAAATGCAAATGAATCACTACAAAACATCTTACACAACCCAAACTTTCAACTGAATGTTTATGATCCTTATAGCATTGAAAATTTAAAAATTGGTGGCAAACAATACCCGCTTGCTGCAAACTTTTCAGCTCCCTATGGTCTATGGCTGGCTCAAAATAACTTAGGTATTGCGGCTTATCTTAGCTTAATCGATCGTGATCAAAGCCTGACCATGCCTCATTTATATATGCTTGAACCGTACAACCCGAATAAAAAAGTGATTGTTTTGGTACACGGTTTAGCCAGTAGCCCTGAAGCTTGGATTCGTTTAACCAATGATATTATGGGCGACAATGTATTGCGTGAGCACTATCAAGTTTGGCAGGTTTTTTATTCAACCAATATGCCAATATTAGAAAGCCGTTTTCAGATCAATGCTATCATTAATCAAGGTTTTGCTTCAATTAATCAAAATTCTGCTTCTGCTAAAGATGCCGTATTGATTGGGCATAGTATGGGCGGGATTATTGCGCGCTTATTAGTCAGTGATGCCAATCTGACACAACCCGCCTTAAAGATGTTGAACAATCGTAAATTTGATAAATTTAAAGATGATCCAATGTTCAAATCTCGCTTGACTATTCAATCTGTGCCTAATTTTGATCGTGCTATTTTTATTTCAGCACCACATCGTGGTACTGCATTTGCTGATCGCTGGTTCACTTTGGCTGCTCGTCGAATTATTAAGCTGCCAGGCGCCTTCTTGGGAGCTTTAGCTGACTCTATAGATGATCGTGATTTAAATGCAAAAAACTTTTTAAAAGATGTTGGGCATGGACTGATTCAAAATGGTCCAAGTGACTTAAGCCATAGCTCAAACTTCACCAAATTGACTGAAAACGTTATGCCAAAGAAAGACATGATCTATCATTCAATTATGGGGAATATCACCAATAGCACAGATCCTAACGTGATGACGGATGGAATCGTTCCATATACCAGCTCACATTTAGACGGCGCAGTATCTGAGAAAATTATCAAAGGTGGCCATTCAATCCAAGAGACACCTGAAGCAGTATTGGAACTTAGACGGATTTTAAGATTACATTTGACTGAGCTTGGGCTTTATAAACCTTAAACTCAGCGTCCAAGCATATAAAAATGCCAGTCAATCTTAAATTGGCTGGCATAGGATTATTGGTTTTATAAAAATCTAAGGTCTTATCCGAATCAGTGAATAACTTATTTATAAATCAGTGGTTCCTGCAAAAAGCGCGATTACATCTGCTTCGGTTAGTTTTTTTGTCTCATTGTTAAAAGCATAAAACTCAGGCTTATTATCTATAAAAATTTCCATATCGAATTTTATATCTTGAGGCTGTTGATCCAATGCAAATGCATTGATATTGCAATAACTCTGGTCTTTAGTCCGCCAAAATAAATTTGTGCCACAGCAGTTACAAAAGCCTCGCTCGCCCCAATCAGAAGAATTATAAATGCCTAAGTGCTCATCTTGAGTAAACTGTAAACTGCCCTGTTCGACATCAATCGTCATAATTACACCGCTCGTTTGTCTCCGGCAAATTGAACAATGACACGCATGAACATCATGATTTTTTAATTCAACCGTAAAAGTTGTTGCCCCACAAACACATTGCCCTTTCATAATGATTTCCTTGTTTTATAAATTTTCCATAAAGATACTACAATGATGTAGTGAAATTATAGTGAAACAGATATTTTTTATCATACCCATGTTTTTTAATTGAAAAGCGAAATGATTCGCTCTAAATTAGTCAATACAACAATTTAAATATAATATTTGGAAAAGTATGCGTTATAAAATTATAGATGTTTATCAGCTCCAAAATATTCAACGGTATATTGCAAAGTGTCTAAAGACACAATCACCTCAATTCATTGTGATTGAAAGTGATCAAACCTTATGTAAAGAGCTCGATATTATTGATGTCGACTTACAAGCATCGATTGCCACGTGGGCAACGGGTGAAAGAATTGATTTAAAAATCATTCATCAATCCAACCATATTGAAAAATTCTACGATTTTGAACATTAAAAAGACCAACTCAATCGTTCAAATTCAATAAAAAGTTTGACAGTAAATCCCCCAACATCATATTTTACTTTAAGTTCTCTTTTAGAACCCTATATAAAGGATAAATATATGAAACACCCAAAAGAAATGACAGGGCTTGAATTTCTACAAGCAATGGTTGCTGGACAAATTCCTAGAGCATCGATTAGTGAAACCATCCCGATGGATTTACATGAAATTTCGCATGGTCATGCAAGTTTTAAAGTCAAAGCGGACCAACGTCATTTAAATCCTTTAGGCGGCGTACATGGCGGTTTTGCAGCAACAGTTTTAGACTCAGCAACAGGTTGTGCAGTACATACCACCCTAGAAGCAGGCGTAGGTTATGGCACCATCGATTTAAATGTAAAAATGTGCCGCCCTGTACCTCAAAATAAGCAATTATTTGCTATTGGACAGTTGATTAATTTAAGTAAAAGTCTTGCCATTTCTGAAGGGAAATTGGTCGATGAAGATGGCAAATTATATGCACATGCAACAGCGACCTGTATGATTATTCGTGCATAATTGACTGCTTAGAGTGCTATTTATATTGAATAGCACTTATTCAGCATTAGCCTTCGGTTCATCAACATACATCTTACCCATCTTCAGCTGTTTTAGGCTCTCATCCCATTCCAAATTACGCTTACAATTGATTGCTTCTGCACGGCTAATTTCTGCCATGTTTTGCCCACAATATCCCCCACCAACTTCGACTTGAACGATAGCTTTGGCTTGATTATTGATAATCTGATAAGCAAATACTGCACTGTTAAAAATTTCTTGTATGGTTTTATGATCTTTAGATTGGTAGATCACCAACTGATCTCCACCATGTCCTCTAAATACACCATCTTCAACACACCGAATTGAGTCAGGTTCATAAATATATTCTGGCTGATCATCCCCAATTAAATCCACAACCGTAACAACATCTTTCATATCAACCGCTACAGCTTGCTTACAATGTTTCTGTGCATCTTTTACCTGCTGTATAAGCTCATCAGGATAATTTAACGCTTTAGATTTATGCTCTATTTTTGCTTCAGTAACAGTCGTAGGAATTTCGACTTCAACTTCACTGCTTGACTTTCCTGAATCAGCTTTTGCACGATCAACTTTGTCATTATTATCTGCTGCAATCGCTGCTTTTTTCGTAGACTCCGCTGGAGCTGCATTCTGAGAATTTTGTTGAGAACAAGCGCTTAAGAAAACAAGCCCTGATAAACTCAAAATATTGACAATGTTCAAAATATTTTCCTAAATATAAATAGGGTTTGATGTAAAATTTTATGTAAGGTTTAATAATGTAGTAAATACTTAATGATATGAGATTTAACTATAAAAATGAAATCAGCAAATCCCTAAAAGACCGAATAATAACGATTTCTATGCTGATCTAGATTCACCTTTAAAATTCTGACAAATTTACTTTTGCATTTTGCTCAAAATGTTTTCTAAAATATTCAGTTTGATATAAAGGTTGCATTTGATAAAAATGCTGTAAAACTTCTGCTCTTTTGACTTTATAGATTTCAGCATCAACCCACGCGTATTCTTGTTGAATTTGCTGTTCATATTCTGCAAAACGTTCAGAGGGGCTAGCCAAAATTGCTAAATCGATATCAAGTAAATAATTTAAATCATGCTGTTTAGACGGTTGATGCTCTTGTGTTGCAATGATCCATTGAGAAACTTTGTCTAAGACCGATTGCGTTAAAATACCCACACAATGCTTGTGCATTAATTGAGCACTTTGTTGTTCATTATCTTTTGCTTGTGGATTATAAACGGCATCATGAAACCAAATTGCCAACTCAACAGCAACAGGATCATTCAATTGCGCTTTTACTTGGTGAAATAACTCAAGGCATTCGACAATATGTTGAACCGTATGATAATGACGTTGTGGCTCAGTATAAGCAGCAACAAGCAACTGCTGTAAAAAAATACACTGCTCTGTTTCGATTTCTATCTGATTCGCAAATTCAGCCCAATATTGATTGAATGGTTTGAGGTAATTTTCTGTTTTAGCTATGATCATATTTATAGAACATCTAAGACTTTATATATTAATACAACATTTTTGGCTGTTATCCCATGATCAATAAATCAAAATTTTTAGCCCCTTCTCATTTAGACAAATTTGCTTGTTATAAACACGCTGCCTATTTTCAAGATCTCATTGATATTGAATGGCGAGGTCAAATACAGTCCTCCACACAAAATAAAAGATTTAAAATCAAATATTATGGAGAGATTTTTGAAGAATATCAGCTCATTTGTGGGACAGACTTTGCACCAGAACTCATCTACGCGGTAGATGTAGAAAGCAATGAAGAAATTTTACTTTTTGATGGTACGCAACATGGCTATGATCCCATGTTCTGTGATGAGTTTACACATGAACAAATCACCGAAAGACCGTTAATCCATTTTTATAAAGATCAGGACAATCAGGATGAATTCGAGATCATTTTTAGTGTCTATCACAATATAGATTATGATGAAGAACTAGATGATTTTCTCAATCAAGACGGTGAAATTGAGCTAATTTCAGGGGAAATAATTTCTGCTGAGAGATTAAAGCTAGATGGGTTTGATTTTGTTCAAATCAAAGCGGTAAATTCGCTTGGTCATGAATTCATTATTTTTGAAAAAGAGCTGGCTTAAGCAAGCCAACTCTCTTTCAATACATTAAACGCTTGAAATACTTAAGCAACTTGCTCATCACGCTTAAATACCAGTTCACCTTTCAATGAACTCTCGGCATCAAAATAATAACCATCGGTATTAAAGGATTTAAGATCATCCATTTTTTCCAATTGATTTTGAATGATGTATCGAGCCATTAAGCCACGCGCTTTTTTAGCATAGAAGCTAATCACTTTATATTTACCATTCTTCTGATCTAAGAATACTGGTTTAATAATATCAGCCTGAATTTTTGCTTCCTTGACCGATTTATAGTATTCATCAGAAGCAATATTGACCAATAACGTTGAGCCGCTTTGTTGTAAATCCTGATTGATCAAATCGGTAATTCGATCCCCCCAAAATTCATAAAGATTATGACCACGGGTATTGGCAAGTTTTATTCCCATTTCCAATCGATACGGCATCATTAAATCAAGAGGACGTAATAAGCCATATAGACCAGATAAGCTGCGTAAATGATCTTGCGCAAAATTGAGATCGTCTTGCGACAAACTATAAGCATCCAGACCTGTATAAACATCGCCTTTAAATGCAAAAATTGCTTGTCGCGCGTTGGCAAAACTAAAGTCAGCATTCCAGTCACGAAAACGCTCCGCATTGAGATTGGCAATTTTTTCACTGACACTCATCAAACTGGCAATATCTGAAGCGGAGAGTTTACGACTTAGGTCTATAAGCTGTTGAGATTGATCCAGCAGTCTTGGTAGAGTGTGCGTATCGGTCGGGAGTGCTGACTGGTAATCGAGCGTCTTAGCAGGGGAAATTAAGGCGAGCATGGTCTTCCTGATCAAAAAATAACTAATCAAACTATAACAGTCGGGATATTTTAATTCCAATTCATGTTTTCTGTGAACAGAATCGGTAAACTATCGCACTTCCCTGCTTATGATCGTTTAAATTATGTCCGAACAACTGTTCATTCAAGGTTCGGTTGGCAAAATTGAAGTTTTTGTTGACTATCCTGTGGGCGAAGTAAAAGGTTTTGCTGTCGTTTGTCATCCTCACCCACTGCAAGGTGGTACACCTCAACATAAAGTTCCTGCTTTACTTGCACAAATCCTCTCTGAACAGGGTTGTGTGGTCTATCGCCCAAGTTTTCGTGGTTCTGGACAAAGCGATGGAATCCATGATGAAGGCTTTGCTGAAACTGAAGATATTCTAGAGGTCATTAGACACGTTAGACAATTACACAAAAGTCTACCTTTCTATGTTGGCGGTTTTAGTTTTGGTGCACATGTAATGGCAAAAGCATATCATGCGCTCCCTGATGAAATTAAACCGCAACAAGTGATCTTATGTGGTTTACCAACATCCACTGTAGATGGTCTACGTCATTATGTTACCCCAGCAATTAAAGGCGATATCCTGTTTGTACACGGTGAAGCAGATCCGACGACTAAACTCTCTGATTTGCTTGAATGGGCGAAACCACAACGTCATTTGATCACCGTATTGCCAGGTGCAAACCATTTCTTTACAGGTTATTTAAAGCAGTTAAGAATCGCAATTTCGCGTTTTCTTCTTGTGCCATAAATCTGAATTTAAAAAATTTAGGATAAATAAGGTGAGTGATTCACTTTATTTATCCGTTCACATCATCCCAACTCAAACCAAATTTCGCCAAATACTTTTTCACGCGATCGCTGTCGTTGGTGGTTTGTCTTTGCTCGCGAGATACAGAAAATAAACGCCGTCCAGCATCGGCCATGGATTTCGATTTTTGGCAAACATCAATCACCCCCTGCAATTGAATACGATCAAATTCATCAATCTGCGCCACTTGTTCAGCACTTAAAATTTTCATCAGTGACGATTGGGTTAAAGCCTCTTTATTTTCAGCAATATTCCAAATTTGTTGTAGTCGGCCAATCTCAGCATTTACTTCATGTAAACCAATACGCTCACCATTGGCTAAAGTCGCCATACGTGTCACGCTTGCAGTTAAATCACGAAAATTCCCTTGCCAACTGGCGTCTAAAGATTGCGCAAATTTTAAATATTTTTCTAAGGCATCGGTATGAAAACGTAACTGCCGTTGATGCGCAACAGCAAAACGCTGTAACTCAAAGGTGATGTTCGGTTCAATATCTTCCACACGATCTTTTAAGCTCGGTAAAAAGAAGGTCCATGTATTTAAGCGAGCCCATAGATCTTCACGGAACCGCCCTGCACGGACTTCCTCACGTAAATCTCGATTGGTTCCAGCAATCAACTGAAAGTCAGCCTGAACCTCTTTATCACTTCCTACAGGAAAGAATGACTTATCCTCCAAGGCTTTGAGCAACATGGCTTGCTCATCCAACCCTAGCTCGCCGATTTCATCGAGAAATAAAATGCCATTATCCGCACTTTTTAAATAACCAGTACGTGCTGCAATAGCACCTGTAAATGCACCTTTACTATGACCAAATAATGTCGACATCGCACTATCACCAACCAGCGTTGCGCAGTTCACATCAATAAAGCGCCCAGAAAGATGAAATTTTTCCTTTTTCAATTGATAAATTTGCTTAGCTAAATGCGACTTACCGACCCCTGTTGCACCCATAATCAAAATTGGCGCACTTGAGCGTGTTGCAACCAGTTCTACTTCTTGAATCATTTGATTAAAGTTTTGGTTCTTCGTGGCAATATTGGCTTTTAACTGCTGCCAATTTTCAGATTGTTCATGTTCAAACCGCTGGGTTAATGCTGCATATCGAGATAAATCTAAATCTATAATACGATATTCACCCTCAGGTTGTTGTTTACCTGTAGGTGCACTTTGAATGAGTTTGGCTGGTAAATAATGCGCATCAATTAATAAATACCAACATATTTGCGCAACATGCGTACCTGTGGTGATATGTAATAGATAATGATTGTTCTCAGTATCAAAAGAATATGATTTTACAAAGTCATATAATGCACCATACATATCCGAAAAATCCCAGGGATCACGGATATTCATCTTATGGCCAGTAATTTGGGTTTGCGGTGAAATTTCTAAAGCATCTTGTCGCAAATGATCAATTAAGCTGACATTTCGGCGATCATGTAATAAAACCAGCTCATCAACCACTAAATCTTCATGCATCAACAAACTCATGGTGGGACGCCAGCGTTGCCAGCGATCAAGTTTTTTCCCTTGATCTAAAGTTGAACCCACAAAACCAATCACGACTGTTTTTTTAAATTTTTGCATATTTCTATAAATCTATAAAATTTTATATATCTTGCTTAAAGCATAGTTTTATTTTGTCAAAAATCAAATACTGTTTATACCGTCATTTTTTAATATTTTAAAAATCTCAGTTTCTCTTTTGAATATAATGCGACTATACTATTGATGTACAAAGCTTTTACTCACTTCTCCCATCACCGTCTGATTCGACACTTTTTTGATGGAATCCACCCTGCTTTGTTGTAAAAACAATCATAGAAAACATTTTAAATATTCAATAGGTTTTAATTCCTCATGTTACAGTTTACATTCTTAGGGACATCCTCTGGTGTGCCCACATTAACACGCAATGTGTCAGGTTTAGCGATTCATTATTGCAAAAGCAAAGACTGGATATTGGTTGATGCAGGCGAAGGTACACAGCATCGTATTCAACAAGCAAAACTCTCTTTACAACATTTAAAAGCCATTTGCATTACGCATGTACACGGCGATCATTGTTATGGCTTGATGGGTTTACTGGCAAGTGCTGGTATGAATGCACGCAAAGATCCGATCACGCTGATTGCACCCAAAGAAATTCAGCAATGGTTTGCAGTAACCTGTCAATTCACTGAACTTTTCCTGCCTTATCCAATACATTTTATCGATGTAAATACTTTGACGAATCCCTTTCAATTGGATGAGCATATTTCCATTGACGTTCATCACTTACACCACCGTGTGACAAGTTATGCTTATGGTTTTAAAGCGACACAAACTCAGCGCAAACTCAATGTTGACGTTTTAAATCAACTCAAAATTCCAAAAGGTAAACTATGGGGTGATCTACAACAAGGTCAAAATATTGAGTGGAATGGGCAGTCCGTCTTAAGTCAAGATGTTCTCATTCAAAACACTCAAAGTGTTTATGCCATTGTCGGTGGAGATAACGATCAGCCAGAATTACTATCGAACGCTTGTCAGGATGCAGCACTGCTGATTCATGAAACAACCTATACTCAATCGATATTAGACAAAGTAGGCGCAGGCCCAATGCACAGTTCTGCGAAAATGGTCGCTGAGTTTGCAGAATCGATTCAACTACCTAATTTAATTGCAACGCATCTCAGTGCCCGTTACCACGATGCACAAGGTGTGCAAAGCATTGGTAATGAAATTGCCCAGTACTATCATGGCAATTTTTACATTGCTGATGATTTTGATCAGTATGAACTAAATATGCACGGCGAATTAACACAGTTTCGCACTGGGAAACCCTGGGAAAAGTAATTTTCCCAACTTCAATTTAACGCTATGCAATATTATTGAATCATAGATGGTCGTTCTATCGTGTGGAGATATGGATATCGCCCATTGTGTAGGAATGCTGGGTACAGGATCTATCCCTCGCCCAACATGAGCAAAACAAAGCTCAGCTTTGTTTGCAGCGCAAGGTTTGGCCTCATCTTCAAAAGGTGTGGCAGTGTAAGCTTTTTATATTCAAATAGTTTATTCCGCCATGCAATTAATTTAATTAAAAATATGAATTAAAAAAAACATCTTTTTGTGCCTGAGTTTTTAATAGGTTGACTATATCCCAACTAACTTTGCTTTTAGCTGGAGTTAGTGTCCTTTTTTATTTGCACAACATTAGGCTCATTGATTTTTTATTTTAAAAATAGAAATAAAGATAAAAACCTATAAATAAAGATATTTTATTTTATACCTTTTAAATTTAAAAACACATAACAACCGAACTTTTAAAATTTTTAAACTCATAAAATCAGCCACTTAAAAATAAAATTTCATTCCAAAACAAAACTTGGCACACTCTCTGCAATATCTATCTCAAGAAATTAAAAAATCACTTGAGGATGCTGTCATGGCGAACAAGACAATTTTTGCCTCTAAACAACAGGCAAAACCAAAAACCATTGAATACAACGAAGCTGGTCGTCGTGCATATAAATTAAAATCTCGTGCCGCATTAGCGCAGCTTGCTGCAACAGGTACACTGAATCAGACCTTTTATCAAAATGCACAAGTGCAACTTGATAATATTCTAAACCTAGCGCTTGAAGTAGAGCCTGAATTTGTGGCTAAAACTGCAATTTATGCACGCCAAAAGGCACATATGAAAGATACACCTGTAGTGTTATTGGCTTTACTTTCTGAACTTGATGCAGAATTATTTAAGCAAGTTTTTCCTTTGATTATTGATAATGGAAAACAGTTGAGAAATTTTGTTCAAATCATGCGCTCTGGAATGATTGGTCGTAATTCATTAGGTTCATTACCGAAACGTATGGTCAATGAATGGATTCTTTCAGCATCGGATCAACAATTGATTGCGGCCAATATTGGAAACAGCCCTTCACTTGCCGATGTGTTAAAAATGACTCATCCAAAACCAAAGACAGTTCAACACGATGCTTTTTTTGCCTATGTCCTAGGAAAAGAATACCAACTTGTCCAACTACCGACTCAAGTGCAAGCATTGGAAGAGTTTCGATTGGGAACAGCAACACAAGTACCTAAAGTGCCGATGCAGCTTCTAACCAATTTAAATTTGAATGCGAAACAATGGGCCGAAATTGCAAAAAATGGTTCTTGGCAAATGCTACGTATGAACTTAAATACCTTCTTACGCCATGATGTTTTTAAAATCAAAGGAATGACAAAAATCATTGCCGATAAATTGATGGATGAGCAAGCCATAGCCAAAAGTCGAGTATTTCCATATCAATTGATGATGGCTTGGTCTGCACTTGCAGAGGATATGCCACATGAAATTGCCAATGCGCTAAAGTTTGCTATGCAGCGTGCCATCGCCAATGTACCGAAACTTGAAGGAAATGTGGTGATTGCGATTGATGTTTCCGGTTCGATGTCAAGTTCTGTGACAGGTTATCGTCAGGGTGCAACCTCTCAGTTACGTTGCGTAGATGCTGCTGCATTATTTGCTAGTGCATTTAAATATGTAAATCCAAATATTCGTTTGATGCCGTTTGATACTGAAGTTCGTCAATTATCCAATTTCAGCAAAGTACAGGAATATTTAAAACGAAAAAATTTTGGAAAACAGCAAAATTCAGAAATTGATATTTTTGCTTTGGCTAAAAAATTTGCCAGTATGTGTGGTGGTGGAACTGATTGCTCTAAGCCTTTGGAACTGTTAGTGAAAGAAAATGCCAAAGTCGATATGGTAATTTACTTCTCTGATAATGAATCATGGGCAGATCAAGTTCCAAGATCACACCGAAAAACTGGGATGATGCATTATTGGAAACAGCTAAAACAGCATAACCCTGATGCAAAACTGGTGTGTGTTGATCTGCAACCCTATACCACTACGCAAATGCCTGAACATAGCGATGTGATGAATGTCGGTGGATTTTCCGATACGGTATTTCAACTGATTGAAAGTTTTGCCAAAAATGAAATGCATGCAGATCATTGGGTAAACGAAATTGAAAAAATAGATATTACACAAACTCAGCTTTATGCAAGCTGAATGTATAAACAAATTTGATCGAGTCTCTTCAAGTGTTTACATTTAACAATGTCCACACTTGATAAGACTGGGTTAGATAAAAAGCACAAATGCCATAGGAACTACATTTCAAGATTATGCTGTTTCTATATTTAATTGTTGTGCTAAGTAAGAAATTGCCAAATGCAGATAGAACTACATTACTTTGAATAATTGATGTTTTATCGACACCTTTGTTGGCAAAATACATCGCATAAAATGCGTTAAGGACTACATCTTTAATGCGTAGGTCGGTGGTTCAAATCCACCCTTTTCACGCTTTTCCAAGTTTGAAAAGTAGCTCAGTTGGATAGAGCAACGAAACGTCTTTAACATTTTGTTTATGCAAAGCAGTAAAAGAATCAAATGTTTCAAGGACTACATCTTAAAATTGACGTCATCGGTGGTTCGAATCCACCCCATCATTTCGATGATGGTCGCCAAGCGGTAAGGCACGAGCGTCTTTGAAAAACTTGTTGATTCACTTGTAGGGCAGTATATGAAAATATACTGGGGCCATCAGTCCATCAAATACGCATAGGACTACATTAGAATTCACAGATCAGAGGTTAGATTCCTCTGCTGTATATACATACAGTCGCTTAAAGCAAAAGCGGTGAATTGTTTGTCTTATAATCAAATTTGTTGATGGACTTGTGACCTATGTTTAAACGATCAAATGCCTGTTGGATTACATCGCGATCTCACGCACAGTATTTCGGGTACTGCACATATCCAACACCAACTTTTTTTGATCTTGTATATGCAATAATGAAAGTAGATCAAATGCTTTGAGGACTACATTACGCGTTTGTCGGTGCTTCGATACCACCCTGTATGACAAAATACAGTAGCTCAGTTGGTAGAGCCACGACTGTCTTCTGCTCTTTGTTGATGTACTCTCATTATAATAAATAGATTTACACGATAAGCAGTCACGAATATAGATTGGATTTCATGGTAACGCTTTAGTGTAGGGTTTAAACCCTCCTATCGTGTTCACTCACAAAATCTAATCTTAACGTTTGTGGCTGCTTTACTTTTTAAACTCATCATGTTTAAAAGCGATGCTTGTGAATCAACAAAAAATTTGCTAGCTTGGAGACTCACCTTAAAACCAAAGACAGGTGTCAGTCTGTAAAACGCAAATTATGTCTATACAAGTTATTGTTGACGATAACAATCTTGATCTTGCTTTAGAAAAACTAAGAGTTAAAAAGTACTATTTAGAAACTAACCACTGGTATAAGAAGTGCCAGAACTATCATGAAAAACCGCCAAGTAAAAGTCGTAAAAAAAGCGAACTGAAACTTTTAGATGGGCATAGTCAAATCCTAGAAGATGATCCTCTCGCACTGAGGTTAAAAATTCATATCGAAGAACATTATCAACCAACTGATGATAATACGATATGGGATATGAACAAAAATTAAGATTCACAAATTTCATCAAATCTAGCTTGGGAGAAGAAATTCTCCCAAGCTAGATTTCATACTATAATCTGTAACATGATAAATATCCTGAATAATAACAATGCGTACTTGGTTTGCTTTCCTCTTATTTCCTTTACTAATTTTTGTATTCTTATTTTTCTTCTATGTCATTTTTTTACTTTCACTCACTTTGGGCTGCGGTTTCCGGCAAGAAGATATCCCAACCTGTTCAAAAATTTATTATTTTTCAATTATATCAATTTTTCCAATAGCTATTTGGCTCGGCTATTTTACAACTAAATTAGCACCACATTGTGGAAGATATTTCCTTAGTAGTATTTATAGCCTAATATTTTCAATCACTCTATTTGCATATTTACAAGGCTCTAAAATAAGCCTCATCTTTTCAATTGGTTTTAGCCTCCTTTTCTTATTATGTTTAAGCATTGGTTGTTTTATATTTTATTTAAAATATAAAAATAGATAAATTACTATCTAAAATAATATTTAAATTTGCATGTTTTTTTTAAAACGCACATTTAAAATAAAATTTAAATTTATTTATTAACTACAAATCAATATCTTATAAAATAAAAATCAATTAAAAGACAAAGTTGGCACACTCTCTGCAATATACAAAGCATACATCATGAGATGTATATAAATATCACCTGCCTGCAACCGCTTGGCAGGCAGGTTTTGAAAAGGATCAAAACAATGACAATGTTAGTCGCAGAACAAATCGAAAAACAAACTTCCTTAGCACAGGAACGTACTTATAACGTAATTCAGGATGCTAAAGGTGTTCCTATAAAAATGTGGACCAAAGGTGTCCCTGTCGATGAGAAATCAAAAGACCAATTATTAAAAACAGCACAAATGCCTTTTATTTATAAATGGATGGCAGTAATGCCAGATGTACATGTAGGAATCGGAGCAACGATTGGAAGTGTAATTCCAACCAAAGGCGCAATCATCCCTGCTGCGGTCGGTGTAGATATTGGCTGTGGAATGATGGCTGCACGTACTTCGCTAAGCGCATCAGATTTACCAGATAACTTATACGCACTGCGTACCGAACTTGAACGTTTAATTCCGCATGGTATGACCAAAGGTCGTGGTCGTCGTGACCAAGGTTCATGGGATACACCTACTGCACGTGTTGATCAGGCTTGGGCTGAGTTGGTGACTGATTTTGAATATATCTGTGCCAAGCATCCCCGTTTGAAAAATACCAACAACCATAAACAGCTGGGTACTTTGGGAACTGGAAACCATTTTGTTGAAGTGTGTTTAGATGAGTATCAACAAGTATGGATCATGTTGCACTCAGGATCTCGTGGTGTAGGAAATGCAATTGGTAACCACTTCATTGAGCTTGCACGTAAAGATATGCAAAAGCATTTTATTAACCTGCCTGATAAAGATTTAGCTTATTTAGTGGAAGGGACTGAACACTTTGGTGATTATTGGTTTGCAGTGGGTTGGGCACAACGATTTGCCATGAAAAACCGTGAGTTAATGATGGAAGCTGCGGTTCAAGCTTTACGAATCATCATCAACAAACCATTTAATGCCAAAGTTGAAGCCGTTAATTGCCACCATAATTATGTGGATAAAGAAGAGCACTTTGGTCAAGAAGTGCTGGTAACACGTAAAGGTGCTGTACGTGCCCGTTTGGGTGAGTATGGAATTATTCCAGGTTCAATGGGTGCCAAGTCATTTATTGTCAAAGGTAAGGGAAATCAGGAGTCTTTCTGTTCGTGTTCGCATGGGGCTGGTCGTGTACATAGCCGTACCGCTGCAAAAAAGTTGTTTACTGTGGAAGATCAGATTGAACAAACCAAAGGTGTAGAATGCCGTAAAGACGCAGCCGTGATTGATGAAATCCCTTCTGCCTATAAACCTATTGAAGATGTGATGAAAGCACAAAGCGATTTGGTAGAAGTGGTTTATACCTTAAGTCAGGTTGTTTGTGTAAAGGGTTAGTTGATGCATAAATTTTGGAGTTTGAATCGCTCATTTATTTCTATTGAATTAAAAATGTTTGATCACGGCTGGGCTGCTTTAAATTTCAAATATGATCAACTAGAAATCTCAATAGATTTATCAGATGTTTATGATCCGTTTCAAGATTTGGTGAATTGGGGTTGGAATATTCAACAAAATATTCTGCCAGCCTCTATTGAGATAGATGAAGAAGGTCATGTTGTTAAAATTGTTGCAGAAAACTCGATTATAGAGGATCAATTAATTATTCGATTTATTGCAAAGTCTTTTGTGCATACTCTTAAATTGAATAAGTATTTTTTTCTGAACACTTTGAAGCAAGAAATAAAACGTTTTTTTGAAAATGATTTTAATCAACATGAATGGCATGAAATTCACCCAGTACGTAATCTACCGTTTTTCTGTATTAACGACTGGGTACTTAATCACACTTGGATTAATCAAAATGAGTAATACCAATGGATCGCTCTAAACAAGTCAAGATCAGTCATTACGATCTTTTGGCTAATCAAGCAATCCATCTTGAATTACCACAAGAGCCATACATTGTTGTGCTAGCAATACATAACAACAATGTAACCAATGATTGGCGCAATCAATGCAGTGATTGGATTGTAAAATCTGAACAATGCTATTGGGCTTTAGCTTGGGGCCATGAATGTTCAATTTGGGATGATGCATTGGATTATTCTTATTTAGAATTTTGTAATTATGATCTACCTGAAGACGATGATTATAATTTCATGACCACTTGGCATGAAAATCAAACTTTAGAAGACGTTATAGAATTTGCCGAATCAATCCCAGTTGATACATTACCCCAGCAAACTTTATATGAAATCGTTGTGTTAAATATTTATTGACTATTAAAAGCGATAAGGAAAATAAAATGAAACTTGCAGAAGCACTTTTATTACGAAGCGATCAACAAAAGAAACTCGCTTCATTAAAACAACGTATCAATGCGAACGTATTGGTACAAGATGGTGATGAGCCATCCGAGGATCCAAATGAGTTATTAAAGCAAGTATTTGCATTAACTCAAGAATCTCAAAAACTTGTTTATGCCATTCATCAAACCAATGCTTTGGCAAAATTAACGGATGGTCGTTCATTATTGGCTTTACTTACTCAACGTGATGAGCTTGTAGAGCGCCATAAAATTTTAACCTCAGCCATCAGCAACACACAACGTGAGCCTGACCGCTATAGTACACGTGAAATCAAATGGCATAAGGTCATTCCAGTATCATCCTTGCAAAAACAATCCGATGATATCAGTGCCAAATTACGCGACTTGAATGTATTGATACAAGCCACCAATTGGCAAGTTGATTTACTTGACGTTTAAAGCCATCATTTAAAAGCTTTGATAGGGCTTACCCTATCAGATCTCGAAATATATTGGGCGAGTACAAGATCTAAGGCTGTATAGATTGAAATAAAAGTCAGCATCATTTTTGGGTAATGACAGCGAAGCGGATTTAGAGCGGAAACGTACCAATCAAATCCATCACCTATCATCACTTAAACCTTTGTGAATCAGAGTGACTATTTACACAGCATTACCACGTACTGACAATATATTTCACCTTTTCTCAAGTGATTCGTCATTTGAGAAAACCCGAACATACTGGGCGAGTGCAAGATCCCCTACCTCCACAACACAGGATTGAAAATAAGGTGTAGTGGCTTGATGAGCGAGCGGGTTAGCTTAAAACTTTAAGCACAAATCAACCCATCACTACGTACAAGGCAAACCTTTGTGAAAGCAAAGTTACAATGCACTAAGCATCACCATGCACTGACAGTATGTTCACCCCTTTTAGGAATTTTAATGAATTACCATTGTTCTTGTTGTCATCATTACACGAGAGATCAACCCTCTGGTAATTTTGACTTTGAGATTTGTCCAGTTTGTTTTTGGGAAGATGATCCTGTACAAAATATTCATCCAAATTCAAAAAGTGGTGCAAATGCAATCTCATTAGCAGAGGCACAAGATAATTATCAATAGGGTCTGTTGACAATTCGTCTATGTTTGCGACTACGTGTGTTTTTTAGACGATACTAGGCGCGAAATACGAAATTTAGTCATTCTAAATAATGAGAAACACTGTTTCGCAAGGTAACGACGTAGCGGCAAAAAACACACAAGTCCCCCGCTGCGCCTTGCGCTGCAAACAAAGCAGTGCTTTGTTCTTGCTCAGGGTTGTGGCTAAAATTATCTCAGCCTACGTTATGAAACTCGAAAATAGTCTCGCTATTCTCTTCGTTTCATGCCTTGCCTGCTCAATTTTAACCTACAACGCAAGCCATTTATGAAATGTCTACAGACCCTAATATGGTGTAAGTGAATTACGATTTTTAAAACATGTTCGAAAACCGAATGATTTAGAAAGAAATGATGAAAAACAAAATGAACACATTAGTAAAAAATAAAGCCATCCAAATTGATGGCTCACAAGGCGAAGGTGGAGGGCAAATTTTAAGAACTGCCCTTTCACTGTCTATGTTAACGGGTATTCCATTTGAGCTTGTGAATATTCGAGCAGGGCGTAAAAAGCCGGGCTTAATGCGACAGCATTTAGTCTGTGTACAAGCATCACAACGCATCAGTAATGCCATTGTGGAAGGTGCTGAACTACATTCACAAAAATTATATTTTCAGCCCCAACAAGTTCAGGCGGGTAAATATGATTTTCATATTGGTTCAGCGGGTAGCACAGTATTGGTTTTACAAACACTACTGCCTGCACTGATGATGCAAAATGAAGTCAGCCAAATCAGTATCCACGGCGGAACACATAATCCAATGGCACCGACTGCAGATTTTATAGAATCTTGCTTTCTACCTACTATTCATAAACTTGGAATAAAAGTCGACTTTAAATGCGAACGTGCTGGTTTCTTTCCAATTGGTGCGGGTCAAATCAATATTACAACTTATCCGTGGATAGATAAGCTTGAATATTCAGTATTAGATAAAGGCAAATTACTGGAAATACATGGCTATGCAGCTGCCTTAAATATTCAACAGAATATTGCTGATCGTGAACTGGAAGTATTGCATAATAAATTGAGCTTAAGCCAACGTAACAGACTAAACTTTCAAGGGATTAGTCAAGGGAATACAGCTTTTGTAGTGCTAAATTATGAACACCATCAACAAGTATTTTCTGCGTTAGGTGAAATGAAGAAAAGTGCAGAAAAAGTAGCGCATGATTTAGCCAAAGAAGTTAAATCCTTTTTAGCTTGCGATGCTGTGGCTGACGAATATCTAGCAGACCAACTTTTATTACCTTTAGCTTTAGGTAAAGGTGGTGAGTTTACTGCTCAAGTTGTCAGTGAACACACTACGACACAAGCTGAAATGATTCAAAAATTCTTAGATTGTGAAATTCACTTTGAAGCAATCAATGATATTTTTAAGGTGAGTGTCATCACATAAGCTTCAGCTATGCTAAATCCAGTTTACAAGCTCATCAATTGCTTATCTTTATGTGCCAATTCATTTTAAATTTCATACTTATTGGCACATTATGTAAATAAATGACCCAACTATTCATTATATAATCAACGCCTTAAATAAGTATGATTTTTAAAGTAGAAAATACCCACTTAAGGAATAAGGGAAATGATGAGAGTTTTATTGGGGACAGCTTGTATCGCATTTTTAACATCGGCAGCTTTTGCAGAAGATATATCGGGAACTTGGCGCTATATCGATGACAAAACTGGTGAAGCAAAGGGACTGGTTAAAATTGAAAAACAAAGTAACGGTACCTATGCGGGTACAGCATTAAAAGCAACACCACGCCCAGGCTACACTCCAAAAGAATTTTGCACCAATTGCCCTGCACCTTATACCAACAAGCCAATTATTGGCTTACAGGTAATCTCTGGGCTAAAGACAGATGATCATGTGAGTTATACTGATGGGAAAATTATTGACCCAGTTTCAGGTAAAATCTATCGATTAAAAGGTAAAGTCAGCCCAAATGGCAAGAAACTATTTCTTCGTGGATATTTAGGTATTTCAGCAGTAGGTCGTAGCCAAACATGGTTACGTGTCGAGTAGTAGCATAATTTCATTCACAATAAAAATGACAGTTTTATCTCAATCAAACTGTCATTTCTAAACATCTATTTTTTAAATGATTTTTAAATCAGTTATTCACAGCAAGTTGATATAAAAAATCTAAATGTGTGGCTGCATCACCCTTATCTAAATTGAGATCACTGGCACGCCCACCCAATCTCAGTGCAGGAAGATAACAATACATTTGATTATCAGTTAATTTACCATATTGAGTTTGTGCCTTTGCTAAGGCTGATTTTTCTAAAAATTGCTCAATGATTTCATCATCACAAATCCAGTCATTAAAAAAATCTGTTAATGACCAAGCTGTTACCCCAATATCCGAGTTGTGTGGATCAATAAAGGATATATCCTCATCGCCATCTTCGCTTAATAAACGATAATAAAACACCAAACCAAATGCCGAAATAGCAATGGGTAATCGGGTCATATCAGGTTGATCTTTCATTAACCATGACCAAAGCACATCTTGATAAAGCTCAGGGTTAATGATCTGTAGCAAACCGTTACCATAGAAGCCAAAACCATGGTTTTGCCAAAGCTCTAAGAGCGCTTCAGGTAAATACGCTTGATATTTTTTTACAGTTTCAAGGCTTACTGTATTTCCCGCCTGATCTACTGAAAATTTATCGATAAATGCTTGTAATTGCATAGCTATCCCCTAGGCTCTGCTTATACTTTCCATTCAAATCCACTAAACGCATCATCTTCTTTTAACGTATTTTCTACAGCATTTGCCAATTGTTTAATCATACTATGGGTTGCTATCTTCTTAAACCACGCTTGTTCTTCATCAGCATGGGCTGAAATTTCACAAGTTAACACGCCTTGATCATTTAAATGACAATTAACCCCCAAACCAATTGGATGATTTTCTACGCTGACAGCAAGGTCTTCATCGGAGTGTGTTGTTTCCGCTTTAAAGCCATATTGAGACAGTTGTTTTAACAACAAAGTCGTCACGTATTCCTGAGTGACATAACATACATTTTCACCATGATTGTGACTGTTACTATGATTCTCACAGTTTGCTGTAAATTGTAATGTTCTCATTGCTTCATCCAAAAGGCTTTATAGTTGTATGGTTTTAGAATAAGCAATATAAACAAAACAGCCAAGCATTTGCTTGGCTGTTTTTAATTAATTATACAAATATTAGACAAGGACTGATTTATTCGCTGACTTGAATCTGAAGCCCCGCCTGATTAGTGAGTTCAGTAAATGTTGGGAAACTTGTTGCTACAGTTTCAGTACCGATAATCTTAATCTCGCCAGAGTTACGTAAACCCGCCATCGAAAAACTCATTGCAATACGATGGTCATGGTGCGATTCAATTTCACCGCCAGAAAAAATAGCAGACCAGTCGCCCGATTTACCTTTTCCTTCAATGATGATGCCATCATCAGTTGGCGTACAATCAATCCCCATGGTTTTTAAACCATCTGCCATCACTTGAATACGATCAGACTCTTTAACCCGTAATTCAGCAGCTCCTGTCAACACCGTTTGCCCTTCAGCACATGCAGCAGCAATAAACAAAGATGGAAACTCATCAATTGCCAACGGTACTTGATCTTCTGGCATATGAATGCCTTTCAATGTACGGGTACCACGGATACGGATATCAGCAATCGGCTCACCGCCTGCAATTCGTTCATTTTCAACAGTTAAGTCTGCACCCATTTGCTTAAGGATTTCGATTACACCTGTACGAGTTGGATTAATCCCAACAGCTTCAAGGGTAATATCTGAACCTTCAGTAATGGCAGCACCCACCATAAAGAATGCAGCAGAAGAAATATCAGAAGGTACTTGAATCTCTGTCCCAACCAACTTACCACCACCGTGTAGTGAAATACGATTACCTTCCGTTTCCACAGCATAACCAAAAGCACGTAACATACGCTCAGTATGGTCACGGGTTGGTTCAGGTTCAGTCACAGAGGTTTCACCCTCTGCCCATAAACCTGCCAATAAAATCCCAGATTTGACTTGCGCAGATGCCATTGGCAAATCGTAGTGAATGCCTTTCAATGCTTGAGCGCCAGTGATTGAAACAGGCGGAGTACCACGTTCACCCGTGGTTTGAATTTGCGCACCCATTTCACGTAAAGGTTTTGCAATACGCTCCATTGGACGCTTAGACAAAGACGCATCACCCGTCATCACAGAGTCAAACTGTTGTGCTGAAAGCATGCCTGAAAGCAAACGCATCGACGTACCAGAGTTACCCATGTACAGTGCCGTTTTTGGCGCTTTTAAACCATGAATACCCACACCATGAATGGTCACTTCACCATTTTTAGGGCCTTCAATACTGACCCCCATATCGCGAAATGCTTGAAGTGTTGCTAAGGCATCTTCACCTTCAAGGAAACCTGTAACGTGGGTTGTACCTTCAGCGATTGCACCAAACATGATGGAACGATGTGACACTGACTTGTCACCCGGCACGGTAAATTTACCTTTAAATGTCTTCTCACCCGGCAAAATGGTAAATTGTTGTGTCACCTTATTTTTCTCCATCAAAGGTTTATTGGCGAGCATATGATTGAAATGCTGTCGTGCCGCTTGTGCATGTCCTAGCAATCCCATCAGGGCTTGTGAATTCTCATCTTCAATCAGTTGACGTAATGTCGCAAGTTGCGTTTCAAAACCATCAACTGCTTTCAATATGGCTGTTTTATTGGCAAAAAATATATCATGCCACATCTGCGGATCACTGGCAGCAATACGTGAGAAGTCACGAAAACCTCCAGCGGCATAACGAAAAATATCTAAGTTATCTTCACGATTTGCAAGCTGTTCGACCAGATTAAATGCCATCAGATGCGGTAAATGACTGGTATGTGCCAACACTTCATCATGTTTATCCACATCCATACAAATGACTTCTGCTTTTGCAGCCTGCCAAAGCTGAATCAGTTTTTCAACTGCCCAATCAGCACTGCTCGGCAACGGCGTTAGAATCACTTTATGATTCACAAACAAGTCAACTTTACCAGCATGGACACCTGTATGTTCTGCACCAGCAATTGGATGACCAGGCACAAAACCTACAGGAAGATTTTCACCATAGACAGCATGTGCTGCTGCCACCACATTCCCTTTGGTACTTCCGACATCGGTAATAATGGCGTTTTCAGAAACATAAGCTTGAATCGTTTCAAGCACTTTCTGTGTCGCGCGAACGGGCAAAGCCAGAACGATTAAATCTGCATCTTTTACAGCTTCGACAGGATCACTAAAACCCGCAGAAATAATTCCTAAAGCTTTGGCATCTTCCAGCGTTTTTTTTGAGCGTGTTGACGCAACAACATTTTCAGCAAGATGTTCGGCTGCAATCACACGGGCTAGACTTGAACCAATCAGTCCAAGTCCAATAAAAGCAACTTTTTTAAATAAAGGTTGTGACATAACGATTTTGAACTACCTATTTCACAACGACATCAAAGCACAGCAATCGGATATGAACCCAGTACACGTACTTCTTTAACCAGTGGGCGAATATCTTCAATCGCCGCTTTAACATTGTCCTGTTCCACATGACCTTCAAGATCAATGAAGAATACATACGCCCATTTTTCAGGTAATGCAGGACGCGTTTCAATACTGGTCAAACTAATATTGTGTTTTGCAAATGGTGCAAGAATTTCCAATAAAGCCCCTGCACGGTCATGTGCTGAAATCAGTAATGAGGTTTTATCATTACCACTTTGTGGTACCTTTTCACGACCAATGACCAAGAATCGTGTCGTATTTTCAGGATTATCTTCAATATTGCCGTGGAGAACTTCTAAGTCGTAAATACTTGCAGCCACATCAGATGCAATTGCTGCTGAATGCCATTCATTGCGAATACGGCGAGCAGCCTCTGCATTTGAGCTTAAAGCTACACGTTCTACACCCGGATAATGTGCATCCAACCACTTACGACATTGCGCAAGTGTTTGTTGATGTGCATAAATTTGTTTAATACTGTCTTTACGAGTATTTGAAGAAATCAGGAATTGGTGATGAATACGCAATTCAACTTCACCAATCACATTTAAATGCGATGCTTTAAAACAATCTAAAGTATGGTTGACCACACCTTCAGATGAGTTCTCGACTGGAACTAAACCATAATGTGCACTACCCGCTTCAACCTCACGGAACACTTCATCGATCGTTGGTAATGGGCGAACCACAGCATCCTGACCAAAATGTTTTAATACAGCAGAATGAGTATAAGTGCCGACTGGACCTAAAAATGCAATACTTTGTGGTGCTTCAAGTGCCAAACATGCAGACATAATTTCACGGAATAAACGTGCCATGGTTTGATCTGACAATGGCCCCTCATTGCGCTCCATAACTTGACGTAAAACCTGTGCTTCACGTTCAGGACGATAAAATAACGGATTCTCTTCTGCTGCAAATTTTGCTTTAGCAACTGATTCCGCCAGTTTTGCCCGGCGATTGATAAGTTGTTGGATTTGCTGATCTACAGAGTCAATATCTTCACGGATTTGAGCAAGATCTAGAGAAGTCGTTTTTTGATCATCGTTGATCATTGTTATGTCGCCCTTTAAAGTCGAGAATTACGAGAAGTCTATGTTTTAGACCACTGACAGTATAACAATAGTTCAGTTTAATTTGTTGGGCAATAGTGCATTTTTCAATGTTTCACTTTCAACTTATATATTGAATAAAATGTCATCACTTTATAACTTTTCTGACCACAAAATGAATTACAAAGCAGCTATAGAATTTTAAGCATTGCGCTCTATGATAAAAAGCATAAGCGCATTTCGAGACATAGAATATGAATAAAAAAATCGCTGTTCTCATTACCCATGATTTCGAAGATGCGGAATATCATCATCCCGTTGAAGCTTTTCGAGCTGCAAGCCATTCTGTGCGCAATATTGAAAAGTCTGCGGGGAATATTGTTTATAGTAAACAAAGAAAATCCTCGGTCAGTATAGATTTAGGCATTGATGAAATCTCTGTTCGGGATTTTGATGCGCTAATGATTCCTGGTGGATATTCCCCTTATCATCTTAAAGAAGATGAACGATTTATTGATTTTTTACGTAATTTTGCCAACGCACAAAAACCTATTTTTTTATGTTGTTACAGTAGCCATTTGCTTATCGATGCACAAATTGCAATTGGACGGCGCTTAACTTCGATTGAAGATATCCTCAAAGAACTTAAAGACGCTGGCGCTGTGGTTTTTGATCGCGAAGTGGTAAACGACAACAATTTATATATTTCTTCACGCTCGACTTTTGAACTGCCTATCTTTATTAATGAATGTTTAAATGTATTAAGTGCTTAATCCCTGAACCTTGATAATAAAAAACCTTCTTTAAATAAAGAAGGTTTTTTATTTGAATACTTTATCGTTGCTATTTATTTATGCATTATCGACCAATGATGCCACGTGCCACGATCTCTTTCATGATTTCATTTGTTCCACCATAAATACGTTGAATACGTGCATCTACAAAGAAACGAGAAATTGGATATTCCGTCATATAGCCATAACCACCAAACAGTTGTAGCAAGCTGTCGATGATTTTCATCTGCATATCCGTACTAAAACTTTTTAAAGCTGCTGCTGTTTCAACATCCAATTTACTTTGTTTATACAAAGCTAGATTTTGGTTATAGAATGCTGCTGTTGCCAACTCATCAATTTTTGCTTGAGCCAAAACAAAACGAGTATTTTGGAAGCTGCCAATTTTCTGACCAAACGCTTGACGTTCCTGTACATACTGAGTAGTGATATCGATTGCACCACGAATTGCACCAAGTGCCGTTGCTGCAATTGCAGTACGTTCACGAGGTAACTCTTGCATCAAATAGGCAAAACCTTGCCCTGCACTACCTAACAATTGATTTGCTGGAACTTTAACATTATCAAAGAACAGTTCTGAGGTATCTTGAGAATGCAAACCAATTTTATCGAGGTTGGTGCCCTTTTTAAATCCATCTAGATGTGTATCAACCAATAAAAGTGACACACCTTTTGCACGCGCTTGTGGGTCAGTTTTTGCTGCCAATACCACTAAATCTGCATGTTGACCATTTGAAATAAATGTTTTAGAACCATTCAAAACATAATGATCACCATTTAAAATCGCACTACTACGCATGCCCTGTAGGTCTGAACCTGCACCCGGTTCCGTCATCCCAATTGCGCCCACCACTTCACCTGACACCATTTTAGGTAACCAGTATTGTTTTTGTTCTTCGTTGGCAATATGCAAAATATAAGGCGCTGCAATTTCTGAATGGCATGAAATCGCGGTAGACAATGCACCATAGCCTGCACGTGCAGACTCTTCAACCAACATCAATGAATATTCAGTTGGAACGCCGTAACCACCATACACTTCAGGTACATCAACACAAAGATAGCCATTTTCACCCAATAATGACCATACTGAACGTGGCATTAAACCTTCTTTTTCCCATTGCTCATAAAATGGAGCAACGTGTTCACTCATAAAACGTTTAAAGTTATCACGAAAAAGTTCTAAATCTGCATCATATGCCAACATGTCTTGTATTCCTTTCAATCTGAGTTTTTGATTTTATGATCCCTAGCATGCTAATCATTTTTTGCAGACTTGTCATGACCACATGAGGTCATTTTTTCTGAGCATTTTTGCGAATAAAGAAAAGACTTTTCTATAAAAAAAGAGTAATCAGCTTTCACCAATTACTCTTTAGGTTGTAAATGTTCAATTAAAACTTAGAATTTATCATCTTTAAACATCGGTAAAGAGGAATTTAGCTTCGTGATCTCACTCATCAATTTATTCACAACGGATGGAATTAAGGCATCTGCCATTTGTGCAGCTTGTAAACCTAACTTCTCGCCAAGTGTTGGCTTACGACGTGTTTGAATCACATATACGTCATGTTGTGGCAATAAGCTCAGCAAATATTCATCTGAAGTTTGCAATTTATCCACTAAATTTAAATTGCGCGCATCTTCACCATACCAGTGTTCACCTGTTGCAACTTTTTCGACATTGAGTTGCGGGCGATATTTTTCAACAAAATGCTTAAATAGTTGATGCGTTTGTTGTAACTCTTCTTCAAATTTTGCTTTACCTTCTGGGGTGTTTTCACCAAACATCGTCACAGTACGCTTAAACTGACCTGCGGTATATAGCTCAAAATCAACATGATGTTCTTTTAACAGTCGATTAAAATTAGGGACTTGGGCAACAACACCAATCGAACCGACCACAGCAAATGGTGCAGAGACGATTTCACTTGCGATACATGCCATCATATAACCGCCACTCGCAGCCACTTTATCCACACAAATCGTCAGATTAAAGCCTGCATCACGTAAACGAACCAATTGTGCAGCTGCAAGACCATAACCATGCACCATACCACCAGGGCTTTCTAAACGAACAATGACACGATCACGGCCTGCTTTTGCTGTCGCAAGAATTAATGTAATTTCTTCTCTTAAGTTTTCTACAGCTGAAGCCTGTACATCTCCTTTAAAATCTAAGACATAGATTTTTTGATTATTTTTTTTACGTACACGAGCTTCTTTTACAAACTGTTGAGTCAGTTGAAACAATTCCAATTTCGATGCAGTAGATTGAGCAATTCTTTTTCTTTGCTCATTTATTCGGGCATTTAAATGACTGATACGAATTTCTGCGGGTACTTTGGGTAAATGAAATAACATAGAATTTATAATCTCTAATATCTAAGGAAATGCTTTTCTAATAAGATGCGGACGGATCAGCTAAATTTCAATACACTTTTTGAAAAATTCGACAAAGCTCAGTCCACTTAGTCTTTATGCATGATAAAAAGCTTTGTCTACACACTTTTAACAAACAACAATAATTAAATTTTAGTTATAGAATACATAGCTTTTTTTTATAGTTAAAAACGAATGAAAATTCGAGTAAAGATACGCGTTTTGAATAAATTATGATTTTATTAATAGTTTTTACATCTAAGTTAAGCCTTGCTGATTTCAGCATATTTAGTGACTTTACCTCGAAAATAACGCAAATGCCACTTAGTAGAACTTTTGCTGGCTTTTCTTATGACAAATTCACATAAAAAAACATAGACATGTTTATATCAAACAGATAATACAAATAAACATATATCACACATTTTTAAAATTTATATTAGGTTATTTACCAACTCTTTTTATCTAAATAACATATTTGTTATTTTGATTAAACTATTTAAAATCAACACGTTAAAAAGAATAATTACATTTTGCAAATTTATGAACATTTATGTGTCATTTTTTTAAAAAATGTTTAATTTTATCAACATCAAGGATAAGGATTGAGTATGGATATCTCCTCACACGATGAACACCTACCCCCTAAAAAACAAAAGTTTTATCAAATCCTCTATGTTCAGGTTATTTTTGCCATTGTACTTGGTATCCTTCTTGGACACTTTTGGCCAGACATTGGTGCAAGTTTAAAACCATTAGGTGATGCATTTATTAAACTGGTCAAAATGATTATTGCACCTGTTATTTTCTTGACGGTTGTCACTGGAATATCAGGCATGAAACATATGGGAACTGTAGGGCGAGTAACGGGTAAAGCGATGCTTTATTTCCTAACATTCTCTACACTCGCATTAATCGTCGGGATGATTGTTGCCAATATTATTAAACCAGGACAAGGTTTAAATATTGACCCTACATCATTAAAATCAGAGAAAGTTGTTGAGTATGCTGAGAAAGCACATGACGCTTCTATTGTCGACTTCTTACTGAATATTCTTCCAACAACCATCGTTAGCCCATTAACAAGTGGCGACATTCTACAAGTTCTATTTGTTGCCGTATTATTTGGTTTATCCTTGGCTGCGGTAGGCGAAAAAGGTCAACCGATTGTAGACTTCTTAAACAATCTTACAGCACCCGTATTTCATTTAGTTGGAATGCTGATGAAATTTGCTCCGATTGGTGCTTTTGGTGCAATGGCATTTACAATTGGTAAGTATGGTATTGAAAGTATTGGAAATCTTTTACTTTTAATTATGACATTCTATATCACTGCCTTACTCTTTATTCTGGTTATTTTGGGTGCAGTGGCGCGCTATAATGGATTTAGAATTACAGATCTGATTCGCTATATCAAAGATGAATTATGGTTAGTTTTAGGGACCAGTTCATCTGAAGCCGCACTTCCATCATTGATGCGTAAAATGGAAAAAGCAGGCTGCGAAAAATCTGTGGTTGGCTTGGTTATCCCTACTGGTTATTCATTTAACCTCGATGGTACCAACATCTATATGACGATGGCGGCGCTCTTTATTGCACAAGCATGTAATATCGATTTGAGTATTCAAGACCAAATCTTATTATTGCTCGTTGCAATGCTGAGCTCTAAAGGTGCTGCTGGTGTTACAGGTGCTGGATTTATTACCTTAGCTGCAACATTATCTGTTGTTCCAGCAGTTCCTGTTGCAGGTATGGCTTTAATTCTAGGTATTGACCGCTTTATGTCTGAGTGTCGTGCACTGACCAATTTAGTCGGTAATGCGTGTGCGACGATTGTTGTGGCACGTTGGGACAATGCTTTAGACAAAGACAAACTGGCTACTGCATTCGCTCATCCGAGTAAAGCGCACTATGATGCTAAAGCAGTTGAACAACATCGTGAAGATCCAATGGATTAAAACATCCTATAAGCAATATTTGTAATAAGAAGGAGCTTTTGAGCTCCTTTTTTATATAAAGCAACTATGAATAGATCAGAAAATTAGAAATAACAATCAACAGCTATTTACATATAAAATGAAGCACTAACTGAAAAATATGTTTAATACACAAAGCTTAAAATGATGTGTTTCTTAAAAAGCATTTGTCTAATGTTCCGCGATTATAAGTTCAAATAATTAAGCGTTTATTTCATGGCACTTATATTGAAATATGAACACATAGCTCATCTATTCCAGCCTCTTAAATTATTTAGCCTCACCCATTCATATTAGGTGGGTTTTACTAGAACAAAATAAACTTAGTCAACAATACCTCACTTACAAGACTTCATTAAAACTGCATTACATCCCTATTTCAACACTTATCAAAGAATAGGTTTAGACGATCAATTCATTATTTTACAGCTTAAGTTTTTAATTGTTTTTGATCTACCATTTTCGTCAATTTGATTCATTGCCACAGATGTTTATATACTTTATCTATAAAAAAAGAGCCTTTCGGCCCTTTAATTTCACATCTAAACTTATCTTGATCAATATTCTACTTAACCGAAACGGCCGGTAATATAAGCTTCAGTCAATTGGTGATCTGGTTGAGTAAAGACTTTCTCTGTAGAGTTAACCTCGATTAAGTCACCTAAATGGAAGTATGCTGTACGATCAGAGACACGCGCTGCTTGTTGCATGGAGTGAGTTACAATTGCGATTGTATATTGCGTAGAAAGCTCAGAGATTAACTCCTCAACTTTTGCTGTTGCAATTGGATCGAGCGCAGAACATGGTTCATCCATTAAAATCACTTCAGGGCTTACCGCAATCGTACGTGCAATACACAAACGTTGTTGCTGACCACCTGAAAGTCCTGTACCTGGCTGGCTTAAACGATCTTTAACTTCATCCCACAAACCTGCTTTACGCAAGCTGTTTTCAACAATCTCTTCTAAATCATACTTATCTTTGGCTAAACCATGCAGTTTAGGTCCATAAGCAACATTATCAAAAATTGATTTAGGGAACGGGTTTGGTTTTTGAAATACCATTCCAACTTGAGCACGAAGCAACACAACATCTAGATTTGGATCATAAATGTCTTGGTTGTCTAAACGCACTTTACCTGTTACACGGCAAGTATCAATCGTATCATTCATACGGTTCAAGGTACGTAGAAATGTTGATTTACCACAACCTGATGGCCCGATAAATGCAATCACTTCATTTTCATAAACTTGAAGATCAATACCTTTAATCGCTTCTGCGTCACCATAGTAAACATGCACATCTTCAGCACTAAGTTTCACAGTTGTATTTTTTTCTTTCTTCGGTGTCGAAGACTCAAACTGGGAGACAAAAGAAGTACTTGCTTGCTTTTGCTTACTATCAGTCGATGTAAATTGAGATTGTTCAGAATTCACGGTTGTATCCTGTCTTAAGGAATTTTTAGTTTCTACAGTATTCATCTCTATTCTGCCCTCTTTTACCAGCGAACTTCAAATTTCTTACGTAACCAAATTGCAAAGCTGTTTAGACCGACCATAAGTGCCAATAACACAATGATGGCTGCAGCCGTACGCCCTTCGAAGAAGTTACGTAATTCATTACCTTGCCATAAGTAAACTTGGACAGGTAAAGCCGTAGATTGATCTAATGGAGATACTGGAATATTTGCAACGAAAGCGCTCATACCAATTAATAGTAATGGTGCAGTTTCACCCAATGCATGAGCAATACCAATAATCGCACCTGTCATAATCCCCGGTAAAGCCAAAGGCAATACATGGTGGAATACTGTTTGTAAACGAGAAGCACCAATACCTAACGCTGCTTGGCGAATTGATGGTGGTACTGCTTTCAATGAAGCACGTGTGGTAATAATCACTGTAGGCAAAGTCATTAAACTTAAGACCAAACCACCAACCAAAGGTGCCGATATAGGTAAATGCATCCAACCAATAAAGATGGCGGCACCCAATAAACCAAATACAATCGATGGAACTGCTGCAAGGTTATTGATATTGACTTCAATGATGTCCGTAATAAAGTTTTTCGGTGCAAACTCTTCTAAATAAATCGCACTTGCTACACCCAATGGAATAGAAATCGCGATTACAATTAACATCATGAACAATGAACCCATAAATGCACCAGCCAAACCTGCTGTTGCTGGTGAACTGCGTGAATCTGGGTTGGTGAACATTTGCGTGTTAAAAGTACGATTAATAATACCTTTAGCAGCTAAGTCATCAGAAAGTTGACGTACCTCTGGACTAAGCTGTTGTTGCTCATCAGGCAATGAACGATCGATATGACCAGCTAACCACACATCAATATTGGCATCAGCAAGAAAATTGAGTTCTACCGTTTTACCAATCAATGCTGGATCTTTAAAGACCATATCACGGATACGATATGCTTCTGAACTGGTGTAAATACTTGAAAGATCATCACGACGACTTTCAAGTGCAGGGTCTTTTGCAATGATTGCATTTACAATCAATGCATCCCAATCGACCATACCCATTTTGGTTTGCCAGTCGACATAACGTTCTTGAAATACCGCAGGAGACTCGCCCACTTTTTGTGTTGGTTTTGGTCCTGCATCAATCATATTGGGATCAAAATACACAGGTACAGTCATACTTGCTTGCCAAAATGCTGGCAACCCTTTGTATAAGATACTTCCAAATAAAATTGCAACAAATGCCAAACCAATAATCACTGCTGAAAAACCAGCAAAACGGAAGGTCTTTTCTTTACGATGACGTTTTGACAATGAGCTGGCGATTCTAGCTTTACGTTTTTCTCGCAACTCAGCGGCAGCTTGAGGATCAAATACATTTTGATCCACAGGAGATGTATTTGATGTACTCATTCGTATTGCTCACGATATTTACGCACAATATAAAGTGCGACAATGTTTAAACACAATGTAATGGTAAATAAAGTTAAACCCAGTGCAAAGGCAACCAATGCCTGCGGACTTGCAAAGTCTGTATCGCCTGTTAATTGTTTTACAATCGTTACAGTGACTGTTGAGACAGCTTCTAGTGGATTGATATGTAACAGTGGACTATTACCAGCAGCGAGTACCACAATCATGGTTTCACCGACTGCGCGAGATACTGCAAGTAAGAATGCACCCGTAATACCTGGTAAGGCCGCTGGAAGAACCACTTGACGAATAGTTTCAGATTTGGTCGCACCTAAACCTAAAGAACCATCACGTAAGGCACGTGGCACTTGAGTGATAATGTCATCTGACAAAGAAGATACAAATGGGATAATCATAATACCCATTGCAAAACCTGCTGTTAAAGCACTGGTCGCATTAACCTCAACGCCAATAGAGTCGCCAATAGATTTGAAGATTGGACCAATCACCATCATGGCAAAAACACCATAAACAATGGTTGGAATACCCGCCAAAACTTCAATTGTTGGCTTTGCCCATGAACGGAATCGAGGTGATGCATATTCAGCAAGATAAATTGCAATCATTAAACCCAGTGGAACAGCAACCAGTAGTGCAATACCACTGACCATGAGTGTTCCCCACAGTAATGGTAATAAACCATAACTTCCTTCAGCATTACCTGACGTACTAAAGCCAGGATTCCACTCTGTACCAAAGAAGAAGTCGATTGGACTGACAAACTGGAAAAAGTGCATCGCTTCACTGAACATCGACATCACAATACCCACAGTCGTGAGGATCGCAACACCTGAACACAGGATCAAAACAACGTTAATGGTTTTTTCAACTTCGTTACGTGCACGAAATTGTTGACTAATTCTTTTTCTTGCCCAAATCAATCCAAGGATCGCAGCACAAGTTACCACAGCAAACTTTGCAAACGAGCCAATTCTTTCAAATTTTGAGAGTTGTTCTGCAGCTGCAACCTCATAAGCTGCTGGCGTATCTGTCACACCAAAGCCAGAGGCAATTGCTTTAATACGATCCACCAGTACATCTACCCCAGCTGTATCTAGCGTTGAAGCAATATTTGCTGGAACATTTTTTAAAATTAGATGTTGTAAAACACTTGGTTCTACCAAGTTCCAAACTATCAAAATTAAAAAAGCTGGAATTCCACACCACAACGCCACCAAAGAGCCATAATAGCCAGGACGTGAATGTAAAATTGCAGTGTTATTTCCCTTACCTGCTAGGCTTCGGCTTTTTCGTAGCCCGATTTGATATGCGATAGCAATTAAAGCCAATAACACGCCAATGAGTAGCAGATTCATGTATTCTCCACCGTTTTTTCAATTTCAATAATTTGAAAAAACTCTACTTAGCAAGGAAAGCCGATGGTAGTCACCCACCATCAGCTCCATTATTGCGGTTTTATTATTTACCAGCTTTAAAACCAGCCAATACTTTTGCACGTTCAGCGTCTGACAATGAAATCAAACCAGCTTTATCTAACTTAGAACCTTTACCAGATACCTTCTTGTTAAGGAAGTATTCAGTATATTCTTTTAAGCCTTTGATTGACTGTAAGTGTTCACCTTTTACATAGAAGTATAAAGGACGAGATACAGGGTAAGTACCATTTAAAACAGTTTGCTCAGAAGGAACAACATTGTTCACTGTCGCAACACGTAATTTATCTTTATTTTGATCATAGAAACCTAAGCCAAATACACCTACCGCACTTGGAGATGTTTTTAAACGCGCTAGAGTTTCAGTATAATCACCTGCAATTTCAATTACTTTACCGTCTTTACGGAAGCTAGAACATGCTTTTTTCTGAGCATCTTTGTCTAACTTTTTAAAGTAATCATAACTTTCACAACCCGCTTCAACCATTTTTTCTTGGAACACTTCACGTGTACCGTGGTTAGAAGCAGGAACAACTAAAGTAATTGGCTCATTTGGAAGCGATTTATCAATTTGGTTCCAACGTGTATATGGGTTTGGTACCAATTTACCATTTGATGGTAATTCAGCTGCTAGGGCTGCAAATACGTGTTGTGGACGTAATTTATAAGCTGCTTTGCTTGCATTCGAAGCAAAAACGATGCCGTCATAACCGATTTTTATTTCTTGGACTTTATTTACGCCAGCTTTTTTACACGCTGCGATTTCAGTATCTTTAATTTTACGTGAAGCATTTGCGATATCAATTGTGTTATCGCCCACACCTGAACAGAACTGTTTAAGACCAGCAGAACTACCGCCTGAGCCAACTACAGGTGCTTTAAATTGAGGGAAAGTATTACCAAATTCTTCAGCAACAATACTCGCATAAGGAAGTACAGTAGAAGAACCAGCGATTTGGATGGTATCACGAGCGTTTGCTGCTACTGCTGCCCCTGAAACTGCTAATGCAAGTGCGATGTGATTAATGCGCATTCTTTTCTCTCTTAAATAAACTGCAATTTTGAAGTACACCACTTCTTGTTGTGTCGTACTTTTCGGATAACTGCATTTTGATTTTAAAATATGACAAATAAGTTACAGCTTTATGACGCTTTTATGATATTTGATAATTCACATTTGATTTTATTAAAAATCTTTTAAATTCAATATGTAATCAACTGTGTTCTATTTTTTAAATTTGAGGATATTACAATTCAAATTGTAATATTTCATGTGTATGTCACAAAAGTTGTATTAAGGTTTACCCATTTCAAACGACACGTTACGTCGTGATAGCCTTATTTTTCCATCTAAAAACCCTTAAAATAAATAAAAAAGAGCAATTTAAATGATCAGATTAAATCGTAAAGAATGGCATGAAACTTTTCTAAAGATGGTGGCCTCGGCCAGTATGATTACGTTCATTATCTATATGAGTTGTTGGATTATTTACTTTTTATTGGCACAAACTAGTCAATACAATCTGATCCAAAATATTGTCATTAGTTTTAGCTTCATCAGTTTATTTATATTAACCATGCAAACCTTACGTTCAATGTATCAAGTCTACTATTTACCTTTAATGAATAGTTGCAGGTTAAATTATCAAAAAATAATTTTCTTTTGCAGCAGTTTCTCCATAGCACTTATTGTAGTCAGCTCATTTTTATTAAATTTTGGAAAAATGTTAAAAGATTATTACAGCTAAGCCAATACAAAAGATCCACCGCTTAACATGCCCACTATTCAATCAAGTGTTCTATTTTTCTTAATCATTCAACACAATAATTGAAATTTCAAAGAACACGGCATTGTTTTATATTCAAATGAGCACTCCATAAAAGATTTGAATATGAATAGCAAAACGTCTAGCAGCTTCAATCCTGACCTTCCCGTTCATATGACCTTCTCAGAACATGACTGGCAGCTCTTAGCCCAATATTGGTATCCAATTGCATTAGTAAGAGACATTACTGAGCAGCCTCTAGGAACCATGTTGCTGGATATGCCATTGGTCATTTATAAAATAGATACTGAAATCATTGTTGCCAAAGATGCCTGCCCACATCGCGGTGTTCCTTTAAGCATCGGAACAAATGATGGTCAAGGTATCGTTTGCCGTTATCATGGTTTACGCTTTGGTGAAAATGGAAAATGTAATCGTATCCCCGCGCATCCCAATCATAAAATTTCGGACCGCTTCCACCTAAAAACCTATGCTGCAGTTGAACGTTATGGATTAATCTGGTGTTCACTTTTAGCAAAAAAGCAAGATATACCCAATATCCCAAACATGCCGCATTGGGATGAGACCACGTACCAACAACTGATTTGCCCTCAAGTCGATTTAAAATGCTTTGCTGGTCGACAATTGGAAGGCTTTATCGATGTTGCTCATTTTGCATGGGTACATCCAGAAACTTTTGGTGACCCAGAAAATACTGAAGTGCCTGATTACACCACGCAAGAAACAGACTATGGTTTTAGTGCTGATTATATCAGTAGCGTAGGTCGTTACCCGATTGGTCTAGATCAATTAGGACAAGCGGATTTTCAATGGTTACGCCATTTTGAAATTCATTTGCCTTTTACCGCAACATTAACCATTCATTTCCCCAATCAAGCGAAACAGGTCATTATGAATGCTGCCTCGCCCATGACAGCACGTAATACTCGATTATTTGCCCCAATTTGTCGTAACTTTGATCAAGATTTACCAATAGAAGATGCTTATGAATACAACCTTAAAATCTTTGAAGAAGACCGTTTGATCGTTGAGACTCAAAAACCAGAATATCTACCTTTAGATTTATCCATTGAGGCGCACTTCCCTGCTGACCGCAGTTCAAGTATGTATCGCCGTTTATTAAGAAAAATAGGATTTAGCCCATTATTCGCCGCATAAATCAGTTTCATGCCATGTTTTATAGAAGTTGATCAGGCTTCTTTAAAACAATAAAACCTGAACGTATCGCTCTATATATTTATAATTTTTTCAAGTTGATTAAATTTAACTCAAAAGTTTCTATTAAAATTGCACTCTTCGATTAAAAGATTAAAATGCACATTACATAAATGAAGTGACTCCAATTAGGTGGTATAACATGCAACAAATGTGGTCAGACATCGATGCCTATATCGAATCACATTTAATTCCTGAAGATCCAATCCTCATACAAACATTAAAAAACACTGAGGATAAAGGATTTCCAGACCACCTTGCTGTTGCCGCAAATCAGGGCATGTTATTGCAAATGTTGATTCAAATGAACAAATGCAAACGTGTTTTAGAATTAGGTACTTTTGCAGCTTATAGCACCATGTGGTTAGCCCGTGCCTTACCTGATGATGGTTATATTTTAACGATTGAAGGTCGTGATACGCATGCTGCTCTAGGTAAAGAAAATATAGATCAGGCCAAGCTCAAACAAACCGTTGAATTAAAGTGTGGTCGTGCAGCCGATATTTTAAAAGCGTTGCCTGAAGCTACAGAACCTTTTGACTTTATTTTTGTCGATGCTGATAAACAAAGCTATCCTGAATATTTAGAATTAAGCTTAAACCTGTCACATTCAGGTACAGTGATTGTTTTGGACAACGTGATTCGTGCTGGTGACATTCTTGACCCAGACAATGTCAAACCAAGTATTGAAGGAATCCGTGACATGTATAAAGCCATGCAAAACCATCCTAAAATTCTGTCATGTACGGCTTTGCAAACTGTAGGTAGCAAAGGGCATGATGGTTTTGCCATTGCAATTGTAAAATAAAGCATGCTGATTTAATTTTTAAAGCTGCTATTTAGATAGCAGTTTTTTTATAGCTAAAATTTTAACAAGTCCAGCTTAGCTTCAATCATTCTCCTTAGAGTTATCCCCTGAACTTGTTTGTAGAATTGTGGATAACTCAATAATGCTTTAATAAACCCATGAAAATAAAATACTTTTAATCGTCGATTAATTTTCAACCAGTTAAATTCATGGTTCATGAAAAAGTGCTTGCATTTCAAAATGCAATATTTTTATCAAATTTTTTAATCAAAAAAAATGCCACAAATCATATTATTTGTGGCATTTCATCTCTTCTGTTTGATCAGTCATTTGACTCAATCTCGATTGCTCAGTCGCGTTGTCTTTCATCTTCAAATCAAAGTTATTTTGCGACCAACAATGGAACTGCAGCATTTCTAAAAATAGTGGTGGTTACACTACCCAAAAAGAACTGATGAATTTTACTATGACTAAATGCACCTAAAACAATCAATTGAATTTGATGCTGATCTTGATAATCCAAAATATTTTCAGCAACATCACCATAACGGTACTCTACCACTACATCCAAACCCGCCTCTTTTAAACGTTGCGCAGGCTCATTGAGAATCTCAGGATGATCACCGACATAGAGTAAATGGCATTGCAAAAGTTTAAGCAAATCACTTTTTTCAACACGTTTTAGCATTTTTTGACATGTTTCTGAAAGCTCATAAGCAAAAATAAACCGTGTAGGTGGCTTAAATGTTTGCCCAACGGTTAATACCGT